AAATGTGAGTGTGTTGAATTCGTGTTTAAAAACGTTGAATTGAGAAATAGAAACAGTACATTTTAAAGCTTGTTAAGCAGCATTATATTCAAAGTGTCAGTCGCATAAACTTGTTTGTTAACGGTGCTTTACGACTAACATTTAGCTTTCATTTCGGTTTCTTCCAAATAGACTTGAACTTAGATTTCGTCCAGACACTTTGTCCATTTAAATGGCGATAGTTTTGACCATCCTCAAGACGAGAGCGTTTTAGTTCAAATCCCGACCTCTGACGAGGTCACATTCGGGCCTACGAAGACTCGCTCGGCCAGGACTAATCTGTCATCAGTGTCCCTAGGTCCTGTCAACTTAATCCGATTAGTGAGTCAGACGAGTGGTCAAAGGGGCCGCTAGTTATTGCCTGCCCCTGTCTCTTTTGGTGTTCGGCCAGGGCAAAGTGATTTTAATCCGGTTAATGAATAACGTTCCTGGCGAGACAGCAATGGCTGGTACAACAAGGACAGCGGTAATAAATTTAGCAACAACCGCTTGAGCAACGATCATTTGGATGAATTTCGTWAAATCAAGTGCTTTTTAGTGTCTAAGAGGACATTTCAGTATATATTTCAGATAAGTAAAACTTTAYAATTTATTATCGACTATCTTTTGTTGGATAAATTAAGCAATTTTTGGATCTTATAGGTCATAATTTCAGTTCTAGCGCCCTTGGTCAAATACTGTTCGAGAAAAGCTACGAAATTCGCTTTTAAAAACGAAACTTCTTGAAGAAGAAAAGGAATCTTCTTCAAAACAAAGAAAACTTGAAAGTGTCGAAGAAGAATCAGCTTCTGAAGGTAATGTGACATGAAATTAGATTGACAATCTGACCTTTGAATTCTCTGACCTCTCGAGCAGTAATATTTAACCTGGTATAGATAATTTATAAAACGCATAATTTACATTTGTAGATTCAACACGAAAGGATGTTGTCCTTGATCGACCTCGCCTCATTCGATCTGACCAATCATGTTCCATTTCTAAAAATAGCTCTTTTTCTAAAAATAGAACGAAGGGCTGATATGATGGGTTAAGAACGCAGTACCAGGGATTCCTTCTCTTACCTCATTTTCTCTTGATCAGACGCACATGACTGCTGATAAACAATCGTCAATCATGCGCTTCTAGAGGTCAAACCAATTTGATTTGCATTTATAGTACTTGAACATATGCATCACCATTGATGCATACATTTCCTGCTTCGACGTTGAAAGTGATGACAATTTATCAAGTGGATTTTGGAAAGTTACTTAATAAAATAATGACAAAAAAAGTTTTGCGAACATTTCACGACGCTTTTGTAAGACTATGTGGACAATTAACACTACTCCATGTAGAGTAATTGAGTCACCATCATATACCAATCACGACTGGAATTCAGTAATAAACAGTGTTGTTCGTTAATTGTTTTTAACCTTTATAAACTGAATATAATAAGTTCGAAATGAAAAATATCCTTCCTTGGTACATCCAAATAAACAACAATTGATTCACTTATTTGGGAAAAGTGGAAGAAGAAATYCAAAATGCATTGTTTATTGCGACAGATCAGGCATGGATATTTGGTTATTTCCCCAACCGCAAAGACCGATTTAGACGGCACAACCTTTGCCTACAGCCATCGCATGCAACCTGCGCAAGTCATTACGACAGTTTTAGCCATGTTGTAAGGATGACTTATGGATGTTGCATTCGATAGTTCTAGATAGACTTTTCCACTTATTAGATGTCCAGTAACATTACACAGCCAAGTCTTACATCGATTGTCTAGAGCATCAGTGTTCGATGACAGATATAACTATTTCGACGCAATTACAGGAGATATGCTTATGATAACAGATGATTCTAAACTGGCAAATTTCTCTATATCTATCTATGCCTATCTACCTCTACCTCACTATATAAATACCTCCTCGAGAAAAAATATTATAACAAAATTAAAATGAACATATATAGTTACCTGAATGGAAGCGATGCATCAAAGCTGCCATAACAATCAATATCACTTGAAGTCTGTAATTCATGTTGCTAGCAAATGTGTTTAGCTACCTTGCACCTCACTGACTCACTCCGAGGTTTGATATTTTGTAAGCAAACTTTGCTTTAAAAAAGTGATTCGTCAGCAGACTTTGAATTTGTTTTAAAACTTTGAGCGGGGAGTCCCCTAGGCTCAGTCTTCAGGTGTCGGGATTAAGTTCGCGCCCGGGCGCGTACCATTCTCGTACCCAGATCCTTTTTATCTTCCGACACAAATTCAAAGGCTCTGGGATACGGATCATATCTAAAAAAAGAAAATTGCCATTTCTCAATGATCTTATGAAGGCAGGAGTTGACAAAGAAAGGATATTTGTAGTAGAAGAAAATTAAAAATTTCCCGAAAGTTAGTATATGGCAGCACAGGAAATCTAGATTGTTTATAATCCTGTCTTTACCAGCGATCACCCGGAAAAAACCATTCTGAGAGAGATTCTGGAGAGATAGCCTAGAGCAAAAACCGGAAGCAAATTTTTAGGGTGTCCCAGGGCCTAAGATGGGCCATGAGAGCAGGCTAGGGTCTGGGTGCGAGAATTGGCGCGTACGAAATCCCGACGGCGGAAGACTGCGCCCTCTTTCGCCATAATTGTCAATTGGCTGAAATCGTTCATTCCTGAATTTAACGATGGTCGCAAGGAGTTAAATTAGTCGCAAAGTTAACAGTGTAAACTCATATAACAAGATTCAGTAAAGAAATCAGATTAGAAATTTCTTTAAATCAACAGAGGCAATCCATATTAGAAAAAGTTTTCATTTTCATCTGCTTCTGTTTTCCCCGGTTCACACATACAGAATACACTTCTTCGGTTTCTGCTTATGTCACACTGTCGTGTGAACCGGAAAACATCATATTTTTAAAACAAATAGGTTTCCATTTTTCAGCTTTTTACTTTTATTAGAATACAGGCGCACAGAAAAATGGAATCCATTTGTTAAATAGTTTATATGTGATATATATCCGTGAAATATTTTGCCAACAAAAATATAGTGTGCAATCGAATTAAAACCCAGAAATGTTTAGGATTAAGCAATATGTGCTGAGCTTGTTCGTGCAGGCAAAACATAACACCAGTTGGGTAAATAATGGCTATGTCGTGGACATAGCCACACTTTAATTAGGACAAACTCATAAGCCTTAATATACATATATAAAGTACAAACTAACTATAACATCCCTGCACCCCCGGGGGGGGGGGGTTACTCCCATATATTTGCTATACGGGGACGTGCCGCTGGCCAGGGTATGGTTTTTGGCCTTGCTGTCTTAAACAGGGTATACATTTCATCCGAAATTGTCTTAAACAGGCTCTACAATTTAGATAAAAGAGACCGATATAATTCTTTTGTGTGTCTTGGACAGGGTAATATAATATAATATAATATAATATAATATAAACACCGTAGAAATAGTAGAAATACCGTTTCACTGTCCCAGAATTAACGTGTTATCAAAAACTTCTTATTGTCTTTGATGGATGTCAGTAACAAAATACAGTACATTACGATTGGTTCAGTCGCCAATGCAAACTGACCCAGTAAACATTTTTTTAACTTTATACTGATGGTAAAGACAATATAAGCGAATATAATTCTTAAAGGTATCAGAATATATATATGCCAACGACCTAACAACCTGATTTTAGCATCTGAAGCCCTTGCCGAGCAGCATACGTAGCTGCACCTACTCTAAAACTGTGACCTTTGTAGCATACAGGATCTAAGTGACATGCTCTAATATACTTATCCAATAATTTTGAAAACTGGCTTCGTGAAACGGTAGTGTTGTCAGCATTAATAAATAGAGGACCCAAAAGAGAACCCCTGATGGTTAGACAGTCCAGAATATACTGCACTGGACAAACTAGTTTATTTTGAAAACAACATATTACTTTTTAAAGCAAAAAATATTCCAGGGATTAAAAATCACCTTGCTGATGCATTATCTCGTCTGCAGATATAACAGCATTTTCGGGCGATGGCACCAGCGCATTACTATTCAGAACCAACCCTCAAATCCCTTATGTCTTAGCAATTGGTTATTATCATAGACTGGCCAGCCTGCCAGATCCTATCCTAGTTCCCTGTATCAAAGAGATGCTGAAAGGGTATTGAAAAATTGGTAAAAGCTAGTGGGTATTCGATCGTTTACCTATATCACTGCGCCCGATTTTGCTAGCTTCGGATATCACAAGCTAGTGTTACTGTATGTAGTTCTCAATATGAATGTATTATGTTCAAAGCCATTGTTCGGTTGCCTTTTTTGCATTTTTAAGAACTAGAGAAATCACCGCCAACAATAGAACGATTTCGCATAACCGGACAAAAATGCTAATGATGATCAATTTATCCGGTTATGTGAAATCGTTCTAATAGGGCTCAGAATCGGCACAACATATCCAATACAGCAGGGAGCTTCCAAATTAAAAGCCAAATTAAAAGGAAACCAGTCGCAGAGGCAAGAAAGATGAGTTGATTAGAAGTCTTTCGTTCAGCAGTCGCCTTTTTCTTCGTTTCTAAGAATGTGCGGGCAGTTTGCGTAGACTGAAGGGGGGCGTTACCAAGAACTTCTACTTCAACTCGGGTTGATGCATTAAAACCTGGCTCCGGGACTTCTGACGCCTATCAAGAAAACGCAAAACAGCAATAAATTATATTACTCAATCCTGACATTATTTCAGTAGGCAAAGCATTTTCGTAGTTGTAGTATATGTGACACTATAATGGAAATTGCCTATTGCAGACGTTTTCGTAGGATTTAGAAACTTAAGGACACAAGACAATGTGCTTATCAATTTTACTTGGGTGGAAGGTGTGATGAAAGGATACCTTGCCGTCATTTCTTAAAAAGCATTCAGAGTCAAACATTTCCTGAGAACTTAGGGACTGTGCAATAATTACCAGGAAGGGGGGGGGGGGAAACCAAAGGTAGGGGGGCATTACATAAAATTGATGGCAAGATATTATCATTATATTTCTTTCAAATTTTGATTTATTTTTCAAAATTTTCTGGGGAGGACCAGACTCCCTTAATACTACCGCCTTTAGCGTTCGTTAGACCCCCAGATCCAAAATATTTGTCGCGGTCCCTGACATATGCATAAATGTCCACGCTACGCGCCTGACTAATGGCAATCCAAAGTTAAAGACTCGTTGATGTGGGATTGAAATTGACCAAGGTATGATTTTTTTTCAAATATTGATTTTTTCAATTTTGTCACATAAATTGAGGATGTAGTTTTCACATAAATGTCGAAGCTGAAAAACATATTGATGATTTATTAGACATAACAAGCACAAGTAATATCAAAGTCGTTTTTGACCATAAAAAACGTTACATAAGCCTTTTTTGGAACTTGAAAACCTTTGCGAAGAACATAATTATTTGTTTGTCAGCTCCTCCTGAAAGTTTTTGTCTTTACACTAGGATCCAGATGAGTAAGCCACCTCTTGCATGTGGGTTCGTCTTTAGTGAATTTTGCGTTGCTATACTAGTTGACTCGACTCGCTT